GCTTTCGTTCAATTCTGGCATCAAAGTGAAGAGTGATAGAATAGTGATATTCTACCACCTGGAAGCTTATGTTGCCCACACTTAAAACTGAAGGATGACTGACGATCAGCTAAAGTTAGTTCTACGACGTTTTTCGAGGTTTTCCCTGATGCAAAAAAAAAAAAAAAAAAAATTCCTCTTAATCCTCGATTTTTCAGGTTGCTAGACGCCTTGGTTCCTCTCATAGTTTTTGGCAAAGTTCACATCTTACGGTTGAAATGTTTTCAAAATTAGTCAGGAAGACCCCGTACTCTGTCTTCCTGGGGGTACTCTTTGGCTCCCCCCCAGCCCGGGGGGGACCGAACCCCTTTAGAATTGCAGACCATTTGGGTTTTCTTCCACACGTCCGGCTGTCGATTCAAACAAAAAAAATTTACCCAATATGGAAAGAATCTTGTTCAGAAGTAATGAGAACACGAAAATAGTTCTGCCGTACATATGAAAGCGCATTTGCATTGGGAAATTAAAGGAGAATGTATCGTTCCTTAAGTGAGCCTAAGATATATTTCTTTTTATTTTTCGACTTTTTTCGAGGTAGGTCACAAAACATCTTTCATGTTGTAATAAGTATCTATCCGACGATTTTCATCCAACTTTGTTTACAAATCTCACCACCCTCGTATTAAATTTTGTCCAACGTACATCAACATTGTTTTGGAGGAAACATTGCTTCCTCGGCTAGAAAACTTCACTGGGTTGTGTCAGGCATGTGGAACCAATATTTAATCTAGAAGAAATCTCTGTGAAACCGCCGCAAGTGAAGGTCATAATTCAAGCATAACGTCACTTTTGAGTGCCGTTCTTAAATTAAGTACATTGTCTTCGCAAAGATACATATCCCGCTTCATGTTTGGTCTCACCGCAAAAAACAGACAAGGCAATGCTTTTTATGTGTTTCTCTCCAAAGCGCGACAAGCATCCATTGCCTTCGCAACATAGCTGCCAGCTCTGAATATTTCCAAACTATAGTGACATAGACTGTTAAATTTGAAATTTGAAAAAAAACGTGAGAAAAATTATGAAAATATACGAGTTGAAACCTCCTTAGTTCTTCTTTTTGTGAAATGAACAAGTATTAATATTTAAAAAAAAACAGTTATGAGAAAAAATTGGCATAAATATTTCTTTAACTCCAGAAAATTTTTCACATTAATGCTGCACACAAAATAGACTACAAAATTTGAAACATGCGCTTGATCGTACGCATTGCTATGGTAAACCCTGACATTTTAGGACCCTGAACAAACCAAATTCACTATTAGAAGAGAAATTTCCCTCAGAAGTTTCGCATTGCGCTATGAGAAGGACTATAGTTGGGTTAAAGCAGCGCCTTATTATCCCACATGTAGAATCTTTGATGTGACAACCTAAAATTCACAGGCTGCTTGTCGTCTAGAGAAGTCATAGGTCAGAAATTTTTTTCAAGGTGCAATGGAATCGTTTAATTTCATTATAAATTTCAGTTCTACAAACATGATGTTCCTTGTCATTGCAGTTCGTTTACGCATGGATTTCGATATGGTGTTTGACAAAAACACGCTTGTACCCTCAAGTGCTGCGAAAAAGAGCTGCGAAAAATATGGCGCAACGGACACAGAAAGACACGATTGAAAACTTTACTTGAGATGTTGACAAAAAATTAATAGTATATTGGAGTTTTTTTGCCAACGTGCGTTAAAAATCCAGCATAGTGCTGAAAACCTCAATACAGAGGGGAAAAGTTCATATGAGGACAGTTTTCCCTCAAAAAACGTGCACGTTGGCAAAAAACTCCAACATACTAACTTACGACCCGTGCGTCCACCGCAATAAGTTTGTAAAAAATTAATGTTAAAAATCCTTCGTTGATTACATTTTCTCTGTTATCGCCCTTCTTCTTGGAAGAAAATTTACATTTTCTTTAAGGATTTCTTCAGTGAGAAAGTCATGTTTATTTATCGAAACTTTCAACCGCTCAAAGGTCTTTTTATCAATACCTTGAAAATAACTTAACTTTACCATCTACGATGACTTTAATTATTTAATAAAGAAAAATTCTGAGAATGAAGTAAATTGTTCTAGGGATCAAAAAAATTATTAAAATCAGACTTTTTTCAATTTATTGTTTTAAGTGTTTAAACCTTTCCATACAATGGATGCTGTGTTTCCGTCAAAGTCAAGCAATTTGGCAATCCTCGCGGAGATTGGAGGTGACCTTTGGTACATCGATACACCTGTTTTGAGTGACAGTCGTGATGGCACAGCACTTCCTCAAGAATGCGGGGGTGGGGACCCTCCAACCAAGAGCCGGGCGGCCGGGGGTGGGGGGAGGGGAGTTGCAGACTGTTCCGTCCCCATTGCCCAGCTTTACGGCCCTCGCTCCTCAGGCGACACCGCTGGAAATTTTTGGAGCGCCGCCCAACCTCGTTCTTCGACCCCTCGATCCGGATGCGATTCTTTCCGCTGACTGTAAGTGCGCTTCGATTTCGATGAATCGCACATTATGAGGCGAGAACTCGCCCATTAAAACGTATTACCCTCGTTGCTATTAGGAGCCCGAGACGATAAAAGAGATCGAAATGCACGAGTGTCGTTATGAAGCATATTTCGGGACTTTCCTGGAGTAGCTGCTCAGGAGCGATCGAGATCAATATTTAAGAAAAGAGGGAAAGGAGAGAGTGTTAGTCTAATTTTGACGGAGGCTATTTGTTGACAAACAAATCCGTTTCCGTCCATGAATGATCCTAGAGTTGACTCGAGAGAGTATGATTATCCAGTCTGCCGATGTGCGTAAAAATGTTACAGTTCCCACACACACTTATAAACTAAATTCAGCAATGAGGCACTACCATTTTTTCCTCAATATAAAAAAACCTCGGTGGAAAAATGTTCTTTTTTATAGGGAGGTATTTTCATGGATGAGTTTACATTTACACTAGGGGCTTATGGGGCTGCTTCGCAGCCCCTTATTTTTCCTGTACACTTTTCACTTTCACATGTTTTTTTTTTTTTATTTATTTTCATTTAATTTTCTGTTTTGTCTTTGAATCGGGTCTAATTATTTTTTTGAGAGAATAAATATAACAAATGTTTTCAAAAATTGTAATTTTATTTAGTAAACTTTAAACTAAAATTTTGTTTTAATCTTCATACAAAATTATTTTTTAGGTTTTACATTTGTTTTCAAACTAATTTTAAAGAAGATCTTTTTTTATTTTTTAAATACTTTGCTTTTTTTTCGATTAAATTGTTGATTCTTCTTTTGCCATTTCTGTCCTGCTTTTCTTCCTATATTTCCTACAACTTTGCTCTTCTTCTTTCCTCCTTTTATCTTTT